TCACCCTCACCTCCCAAAGTATATATATTTATCTAGATTTTATACAAGTGCTTTAAAGATAATTTTTAGTACTTATATATAAAACGCAGAAAACAAATAAAAACTAAGTTATTTCCTGCAAAACATTTTCCTACCTACCGAACACACCTTTCATCACAAAACAAATCACTATTGCGACGAAATGTATTTTTCAATCGGACCTACCAAATTGTTTTTGTTGATATTTATGTTTTTACTCTTGTAGTTTTCATTGACAAAACAACGTGCTCGTCCTTGTTTTGTTGTGACTTGTTATTAGATTTAATTTGGTTCTCTAAAATTAAATCTCTATAAGTTATTAAAAAAAGTAAACTCAGAAATTACATAATTAGACATACTTCACTATTCTCTCTTTTTCTCTCTCTCTCTCTCTATATATTACTTATTCTTTCAAAATATTATTTATCTTATTTAAGAGCTTCTTACCATATATTGAGGAAAATATACCTAGATAAATGTATTTTTGCTCCCAAATATACTAAAATAGGGAGAGAGGCGAGTGAGATTTGTTATCTCATATACATACGAATCACACTAGTTACATGTATCAGTATGTATATGGTCTGATTCACATGTATCCTAGATACATAGAAGAGTGGCGAGCCAGATGTGAGGCGATGGAATTTGTTATGTATCTCAAATACATGTGAATCCACTTGGATACAGTGTATCTAAAACAAATTACATCTAATTTTGACCATATGTATCCCGAAATACATGTATCTAGACGTATCTAGACACACCAAAATCTAATATATAAGATTCATAATATTGCAAACTAAAGTGTATCTCAGTAATTAACTCTTAATTGTGATACGATAAAAAAAAACATATGATGATTCATGTATTATATATTATTATCTGCTTATTTATTTATAAAATAAAAAAGAGAGAGCAACTATTAGGACTCTAACCACTGTATGCTTTAGGAAGATAAAATAAAAGACCTTGAGGATGAAAATAACTCTTTCTTCCTCTTTTTCATTAAAAGAAGTTCAAGCAAAATATTTTTTGAAGAAGATTTTACTACGAAAAATAGGAACATATTCTAAAACAAGGTATGTTTTTAGACGTGACTTTATATTATTATGTTAGTTCTTTTTTGTATCTGATTAAACAATTTGATTAGTAAAAGAAAATTTGATGATTTTGTAAATCATGTGGTTGAGTTTATTCTCGAGGTCTCTTCATTGATAAGTTTGATTGAGATTAAACAATAAATTTCCACTCATAATATAATATTCAAGGTGTTAATCTTAATTCAAATTATGAATTTCACATCTATCTAGGGTGTGCATTCGATTTTTCGGTTTGGTTTTGAACTGTTCGGTTTGGATTTTTTGGTTTTTGGTTTGTAAAAGTATAATTCAATCCGATCCAAAATAAATTTGGTTTAGTTTGATTTTCCTCTATTCGGTTCGGCTTTTTTCGGTTTGGTTATTCAGTTATGTCAATAATTAATAACATAACCAAAGTAATAATATTTAATCCCTTAAATATACTTTCTAATATAAATCATAAGTAAAACTTAAAACACAATACTTATAAGTACACCTATTATAGATGACATAAAATATAAACGTAATTATCATGAAAGACAATAACCAAAAAGGGATAAAAGTGGTTAACTCCAACTTAATTCTAAACTTTTAAATATATATATAAAATCGATTTTTTCGGTTTTTATTTTTTAAAATCCGAAATCAAACCAAAAAACAAAATAAAGTAATTTATTAATCCAAAACTAATCCGAAAAACCAAAAAATCAATCCAAATAAAAATTTGGTTTAATTGATTATTCGGTTTAATCCGAATAGTACACCCCTACATCTATCCACATGAGTAAAACAAAAAAAAGAGTAAAGAAGATCTTTTCAAATTATGAATTTCATATTTAATTTGTCCCTTAAATTTCATTTCTTTGTACTTATTTTTGGAGCCTACAGCTTTTTTTTCTGTCACCTGTAGGGTTATATGTTGGAAATTATTGGTACTTTAGTAAGAAAGAGACATTTTAAACATGAAAATCTTTCTTATTAAAAAAATCTTTGGAGCTGAACCCAAAAGGGTACTAAAAGCAATAGTGTATAATGAGGCCCATGCGCCATAAATATGCATTTCAATATATAAATGGGTCGTGCATTTCTATATTTCGGTATATAAATGGGTCCTTCATTTGTGTATTTCGGTATACAAATGGGTCTTGTATTTGTATATTTCGGTCTATTTATATATTTCGGCATACAAATGGGTCCTGCACTTGTATATTTCGGTATATAAATGGATCCTGAATTTGTATATTTCGGTATACAAATGAGTCCTGCATTTGTATATTTCGATATACAAATGGGTCTTGCGTTTGTATATTTCGGTATACAAATGGATGGCAAAAAACATGAAATGTTTGCTGCAAATTACAAATAAAAGAAACTATGGCTATAACATTTAATCTGAATTAATAGTTTTATATTTCATACAATTTTCCCTAAAAAATATAATACAATATACAATATATGGAGTTTGCATCTAACACAATTATAAACTTTTATTGATTTAACATGATTAAGTGATGTGTATTTTATTTTTATTTGAAACATATATAAATATATATATATATACACACACTATTGTAAATCTAATACTAATAACATATATTAGCCTTATTACTATTCCGAGTAATCTAATAAGGTTTATATATAAATCTTATTGTTTTCAATAATCGAAGAATCTAATAACATATTAAAACTTCATTACATTATATAAATTATATTATTTTCTGATTTTTATTATACTAACAATAAAAATCATTTATATTAAGAAACTTATATGAATGGTGATATATTAAAAAAATTAGGGTGGGGCGAGTTGGGGAGGCAAAGGAAAGTGGGTGAAGTGGTGATATATTAAAAAAAAACAATCAGTATGAAATATCATTTATTAAGCTTATTTTCTTTTTCATTAAAATAATCATATTTATGATTTTAAGAAGCTTATAGGAAAGTTTTTTTCTAAAGCACGTTAAGCCATCAAAACAAAAAATTTAAAATTCAAAACAACTTTCCTTGGTTAAGCCATCAAAATAAAAAAATTTAATTTCAAATTCAAAACAATTTTCCTTTGTTAGTACTTCTCATAGAGCCCACGACTCTATTTCTTTTACTTGTAGAAGCTATGAGGAAAATGATTTGTCATTTTTTGTCCACGAAAGTAATTTATTTTTTCTCAAATAATACAAGATATTTTGTAGATGAAGAAATATAAAAGAAGGTAACGTAATAAGAATAATGTTTCTTCCTTAAACACCACCATTACTATCCATAAATTCAGTATGATCTATGTAAGTAAAGGATGGATAAAGAGATTATTTCTATTCACCATCGACAATTTATCTCCTTTATCGAAACTTGAAACCGAAAATATGAACAAGCTCATACATCCTCCTCATCCGGTTTTGGTCTAGCCCTAGATACTTTAGATTTAACTCTTAAGTGGATTAACCATTGATTGCTAAATAACGAAACAAAATTATTGAATTTTAATTATTTTTTCCCCATTAATTGGGAATTGGATTATCATAGTACTATTAATATGTGCATTACAAAAGTTGCAAAAGTACAATATAAAAATACCTTGCACATGCATCGATTTAGCAGAATAATTTTTGCTATGTTATTAAATCATTTAGTCAGAGGGCTAATGAATTTAATTAAGATTGAATAGATCCAGCTAACCAGAATAATTAATGCTCTAATTATTAAAAACCACAGTACTTAAGTACACGTACATTAACTCTCCTTTAATTTGCCACAAATCAAAATACAATGTACTAAATTGCTTCATAGCCTTAATCCAATTTAAACACCCAACTTAAAGAAAAATATTACTTCCTCGATTCCCTTTTACCTGTCAAATATACTGAAAAATATTTTTCCTATTATTTTCTTACTTAGCAAATCGAAAGAGATATTTTTTTTTATCAATTTTCCAAAATCAAATTGAAAGTATTAGTGATTAAATTTAGTCTTACAATGTACCATTAATAACAATAAAGTAAAATACATCCTTAAATTAATACATTCTTAATAGAATAATCACCAAATATTTATATTAAGTCAATAAATATATGACACATAGGTGTTACATTCATTCTTATCATTTAATCATGATTAAGTTTATACATATTTTAATTTTATTAAATCATTAAGTTAAATTATTTGAATACAAACATTCAATGCATAGAAATACTTATATGGTAAAATAGAAATCTAAAATGAACAAGCTAATCATTTAATCTTTCACCCTTTGTAGTGGGAAAAAGGGGTATTTTTAGCTAAAAGTAGTAATCCCATAATAATTAAAGAATGAGGTGTTGAAGAACCTAGAATAATTAATAGATGAATAATTATAGACCAATTATTATTTTTTTTTGTAAAAAAAGACAAGTTGAGTGATTCATAAAGTAAATAAAATTCTATTTCCCAAGATAACACAACTTATAAATGAATGACAATGATGCATGTGTATGACTGACTTTTGAGGGGCCTAACCTCTATTTTAATAAATGCCATCACATGATCTAAAATCCAAGAACCAAAAGACTAAAAAGTTAAATAATATTACTCTCTGTTTCAATTTATTTTTCTTATTCAATATTTTTTTTTAAATAGTTTTTTTTCCACAAATTATGTCAAGAAACAAAGTAACTAGCATTTTTTTTTATTAAAATGAAAATTCACAATAAATATAAATAACAGTGTTAGACCTTACGTTACCAATCCTAACGAATCATGGAACTTATGGATTCTCTTTAGCTAACTTCAAGTTGTTTATTTGAATTTAAAAATTATTTGGTACAGTATTTGTTATATAGTTTTTAAGTGTTGGTATACTTAATAAACAATTTGAGTTTCTCCAGGTAAGCTTCAGTTCTTTCAAAGAGAATCAAGAAATTTGCCCTTTATTCTTGTCTTTGTGTATTAGCTAATCTATATTGTTTTTCTATCTTATTTTTTCCCTCTCTCTTAGCTCATATTTCTTTAAAGATTTCTGATTTTTGGGTGTTTTACAGCTAATGTATACATAGTGTTTATGCTTATTCATTCAGCCAAGAAAGCCACTTTGCACTTCAAGATCATCTTTTTATCAAAGGTACCAAAAATTTCTCACTGTATTATTCTTTTTTCTTTCTTTCTATAATGTATTAGCATTGATTTCTTTAGAGGGGTTTTGCTAATTTTGTTGAAAGGGATTTCTTGGATTTTGGTATGGTTCAATTTCTATTTGATGTCTAAGAGTTCTTTATAGTTACTGGGAAGTTCCAAGATTTGATCTTTTTTATTGTCTTGCAACTCTGGAAGAAAAAGAGGGTGTGGGGTGGGGGTGGGGGGTGTTGGGGGTAGGAAGGGTCAAAGGTTCTATCTTTTTTGTGTGTTCTTTTGTTAGATATGTTGCATGTAGAAATGGAGATTATTGGATTTGGGAAAATGGGATAATGTATTAAGGTAAGAAAAATTTGGATTGATAACATGTTGGTTTAGATAGAAATAGTATCAAGATTCCATGAGTTCAAAGATTGGATCCTCAAGAATCAAAATTTTAAGGTTAGGCTTGTGGAAATGCATCATTTTTTTGAAAATTTAATTGGTAGTTTTCAAAGTAAATGGACTTTTTGTGGAAACTGGTATGAAGCTGCAGTTGTATTTTTACCTCCGAATCTTGTAGCTAAGCTTTTCCATATGATGATCCAGAAACTTACCTCATTTGTTCTTTCAAATCTTTTATTCATATCAATTTGTATGAGTCAATTCAAGTATATTAAAGTATGATATGGTTGAGTGTGAATCTGGTAGCATGGGCGGAGCTAGGGGGGTGCAAGGGAGTTCATCTAAATCCCCTTTCCCCTGAAAATTACTGTTTTTTATGTATATAGACTAAATTCTTTTGATTTTCTCGTGTGTTTATTTCTTCAAGCCTGTTTGGATGGGCTTATAACTTTTGGGTTCCCTTAGTAAAAATCCTAGCACTGTCACCGTCTAGTTGACAGGAAGATCGCACTATTTAGGTCGGGTGAGGGCAGAGTCACATGTCTATAAGTGAGATTAGTTGGTTGTGGTAGAAATTTTAAGCTAGTGGCAAAAATTCATGAACTATGTACATGACAGTTTGTGCTGTTAAGGCCCTACATGTTAGCATTCTTGTCTAACTATTGGTGCCAGCTGCAAGAACAAACTGATTGAATATGTGGGTCTTTAACAAGTATGGTGTTTGCTTTGAGATCTTATCCAATGTAAATGAATGCTGTAAAGGTTTAGACAAAATGCTTTTGCGATTAGATAATAGAGTATAGTTGTTTTTGCACTTATACTGGGGTTTCGTGTTTGCCAGGACTTATTTGTTGTCAGGTTAACAACATTTATCTACTACCCTCTCTTGACCCCACTTGTGGGACTATTCTGGATATGTTGTTGTTGTTATATCTCCGTGTAGGATAACTATGAGATCTTGAGATCTCTAGCTTTAAAGAACCGTTAGTAAGTTTGCCATAAAATATCTAGTATTGGAATGACGGACCTAAATAGGGTGGAACAAACATAGGCTGGACTAGGGATATCGATGATTGTTGTTTTTCTTAGAGAAGCGGAAGTAAGCTGAAAAGTACAAACTTGCATTAACTCAGTTATGAAGTGTTCCGAAGAGTAACATCAATATGCATTGATTAATTCATCTGTTGTTACAAGTAGTAAAGTGTAGCAGATGGTTTGAATAGTGTTTTATTATTAAGTATTTTGTTGTTAATATTGGGAAAAGTATCATTTGTTATATTGTTGGTATTGTTATATATAGCACTAGCAGTAAGTGTGACAGATTGATGGTTATACCTGCAGAAATAAGGTGTTCCTATGTTGCTAAAGAATCTCATGGAGGACAAGCAACTGAATTTAGATCAACCGTTTCTGTCAGTAAGACGAGTCTCTCCAACAGTGACTTCTGGGAGTGATGAGACAAAGAAGACTGAATATTCTCTCCCCACCGTGACTCATCCTCCTCGCTACAAATCAGAACTGAAATCAGGCCCAGTGAGGAATCCAGGAGTCGTGCCTTTCCGCTGGGAACAGAGCCCTGGAAAACCTAAGTATGAAAGCAAACGGCAAATTCGTGCTACTGAGAAACCACCTATTGCCCCGAGACTTCCCCCAGGGAGGAAGCTGAAAGATAACCAGGATTCTATTAAAGCTCATGAAAGTCAAAATGTTAGTGAAAGCCAAATAGGAAATGCTCAACATTCCACACCGAAATACATGAATTTGGACGAAAAGGTGAAGAAGATTGAGAGTATTGACTGCTCAAAAGATATGATACAGGATATGGAAAAATGTGATTCAGAAGATGCTGATGAAGTATATATGGATGCCCCCAATACACTTTCAAGAACTGAATCATTCTTCGTGAATTGTAGTGTAAGCGGCTTAAGTGGATTAGACGAACCAGAAGCAAAACCATTTGGTACTTCTTTAAGAGATCCACAAGCTAGAGATTTCATGATTGATCGGTTTCTGCCAGCTGCCAAGGCCATCGCTTCAGAAAAGTCCTTAGAAATGCCCCACTATGCTCCCAGGAAGCAACCAGCTGTTCAGGAGCAACCAAGACAACCCAAGAAGGTAGTAAATGGGGATAAGCGGCCTCAGCTGCGTTATGGACCTAGTTTTGCACTTCGTTATTCCCAATTCCATGATAATTATGAAGAAGAAAGTGATGATGATAGTTGTTATGATGAAAATCTACCTACTAAAGTTTGTGGATTGTTGCCTCGGTTTTGCTTGAAAAGTTCGTTTTGTCTTATGAATCCTGTACCTGGAATGAGTGCTAGAACCAGAGTACCCATGTCTCCTGCCAGTAGAACACAGACTGGATCATCATCTACCGCTTCTTGCAGTGGATCCGAGAATGAGGTATCAATTTCCACCGTCTTTCTTCCCGTCACTTCTGTTGCTCTACTGCAGCCACTTATGTTGTGCTAACTTCCTCTCCCACATTTTCTTTATCACTTATGGCTTTAACTTATTGCAGCAGTCCAAATCTGAGTCAGTGGCTGGATTTGTCACAGTTCATGCACATGAGGACACAAATGATCGCTTTCAAGAATTATTTGAGTATCAGAACATTGCAGGTGAAGCGGATTTAACAGCTCCTCTGGCAGAGAAAACTCTGCAAGTAGATATTGTACATAAGGTGGAATCTCCAATTATGAAATCACCTCCTAAAGCGGAGAGACCATTTAACTTACAGGATGAGAATCAAGATATTCTTAAAAAGATGGAAGAACAAAATCCCTCAGTGGATTCTTCACTTAGTTATTTTCCACCATCATCAGCGGAAAAATTGAACAATGGAGGGGAAATGATGGCACCGACAGCTTCTGAACAAGCTCAAGACCATTACCAGGATGCAGTCGCCTCAGTGAAACCCAAAGAAGATGTTAAACGAAGTACCAGAAAGCAAACAGTACGAAAAGAAAAGTTAGAGAACTCACGCATAGCACATTCAAAGCTTCCTGCTCCCCCTCCTTTACCAAAATCTCCATCAGATTCGTGGCTTTGCCGTACTTTGCCTTCACTGTCCACGAAAAATCCATCTTCAAGATCATATGTTGGGACAGGAATAAATCCTAACAACCAATCTTGTAAGCCACTATCTAGTGATCCCAAGTGGGAAACAATTGTTAAAACAACAAAGGGACATCAACAGCATTTGCGATATACTGAGGTAAATTCCCTCTCACACCGTGTTCAAGTTTGTGAGAGACATCTTATTTTCTTGCTGTTGTTTCTGCTGCCTCTTTTTTTTATCGCTCCTTCAACCGAGGGTCTATCAGAAACAACCTCTCTACCTTCTCAAGGTAGAGGTAAGGTTTCTTGTTGTTGTACAGTGTTCAAGTTTGTGCACTTCTCTTTCCAAGACCAACCCCCAAACTCGTTGACTTTGGGAGTGGCTTGGCTGATTGTCTGCTATATTTATGCATAACCTTTTCTCTGTTTTCTAAAATTTATCTTGAATCTACCAGGAAATGATGACATTGACACCTATACCAGAAGCTCAATAGAAGACCTATTAATACAACTGGTTGCAGGATGATTGAAAATATTCAGTTTTTGTCTGATTTTACACTTCCATTTTCCAGTTTATGATGGGTTTATAAATGTAAGTTTTGTTCCCAAGTTCATATTCTTATTATTTACACCATGGAATAAAAGTCTTTGTACAGGTATTTATAAGAGTAAACTTGAAGTCTCCTTATATATGATTTGATTCATAATAAAAAAGTTTTCTGGTTTTTATGATACATTCCATGTTTTCTGATTGATCATTACTTGTACAATTTACTCAACAATAACAACGACATATCTAGTATAGTCTCACAAAGTCGAGTCCGGAGACGATAGGGCCATAAAGGACTTAAATCTCTTTCTTGAACTTGAAAGAGCGTAAACATGTCGAGCTTTCGAAAGCCACTGGGGAGGGAGAATGAACGATCGACTGCTAAAGATCTTGAATAAAGCATTGATAGCTTTGCAGAGGATAAAAACTTTGATTCTTCCTAAAGGTGTTCCTTGTCTACCATAGATATAGAGAGATTGTTTTTGATAGACTTTTGGTTCAAGGGGAAAAATAGTCCAGATTCCAGAATACTTGTACAATTTACTCAACAATAACAACGACATATCTAGTATAATCTCCCGAAGTGGAGTCTGGAGACGATAGAGTCTACCTCAGAGATCAAGGGACTGATAGAGAGACTGTTTTTGATAGACCCTTGGTTCAAGGGGAAGAAATTGTCCAAAGTAGTCCAGATTCTAGAATACTTGTACAATCTACTACATCATGGAAAATCTATGTAATATTTCATCTGATTGATTTCTCACATGATCAGTCAACTAATAGTTAATTATCTCAGAAAGTCACTATCAAGGTCATAACTATTAATTGAGTGACCATCAGAGAATTCAACTCATATTGCATAAGATTCCAATGCAGGATGACGAGTGTTTTTGGCCAAAAACATCCTTAAACTATACCCTTAACTTAAATTATTCTTAACAAAAAACATCCTTCAATATTTTAAACTTAACAACTTCCATCCTTTTGTTAAAATTTGACAAAAAATATAACAAAATTCATACAAAAATATGTGTAATTCATACTACTCTCAACAAAACTCCCTATATCACCAAAGATTAAAAAAATCTCTTCATTCTGTGATACATGTAAAATACTATTGTGAATTCTTTTTGACAACAACACTTGGTATTATGTAGATCCTTTTATTAGCAACTTTGTTTTAATTTATGTTTTATTTGATTTGATATTAAAAAATTTCCAGTTGAAATATTTTTTTCTCATTGAATTTGCAAGAAATGGTGGTGTCCTGAGACTTCTACTTTTAATAATGGAGAAAAAAACTCGAGTGCCATATATGAAATTCAGAATCTTGATCACTTCAAATATCAAATTGCCCCAAAAAATTGTTGATCTAATTACATTTTGACTTTACAGAAGGTGAAGATAATGTGAAATCAAGCTCCTGCTTCATTAAGTTGGTAAAGGAAAAGAAGAGCATATCATATCTCTTTGCAACACCATCCTAATTTTATTTCTTTTCAGCAAATAAGGGTCTCAAAAATAAATAAATTAGGGTGGCAGTGGGGGGGGAACCTTTTTCCAACGGATAATGAAATTATGTGGGAAATTTTTTACTGAGAGCAGTGACCTGCACATGTTTTTGTGTAAAATCCATTAATTATTTGACAAAATTTTTTAACAAAAGGATGAAAGTGGTTAAGTTTTAAATATTTGGGGGATGTTTTCTGTTAAGAAGGATAATTTAAGAATGTAGTTTAAGTTGAGGGATGCTTTTGACCAAAAACTCGTAGGAGGACTATCAAACTCGGACTTTGATACCGCTTTAAATGGATGATCTATCTGAGTGCACTTCAGAGGTCTGACTCTGATACCATTTTAAATGGACATTTGACGTAACTCAATCTTAAAAATTAGTTCGAGAGGGAGGATTGTCTCAATACATGTAAGGTAGTCTAGACCCCTTCCATCACATATAAGATATTATTTTTTCATCACAAATGTAAAAGTATTTGTTTCCTTTTGCAAAATTCAATAATGACCAGAGTAGCATGGGGCACGTGGAATCCCATGTGAATCAGCAAGGACCACCTTGTAAGAGTCCTTGCAAGACTAAATACTCCTAGATGACCAATAAAGAAGTAGTACTGTGAGGGAAGGGTGAAGAGAACCCTATCGAGGAGTGAAATAGAACATGAAATTGTAAGCTCCCAAGCAGTTTGAGGAGCTAGGGCTCTGACCATGTGCCTATTAAAGAATGAGCCGAGAAATTGTGATCTGAAAATCATAAACTAAAAATTCTGACTCCAACTCTAATCGAAAGCTCCAAAAAATTTCGTCCAGTTCTTAGCAATTTCTATTCTTGAGATCCCTGACAATCTTGATGGCCAATAGAGATATGAAGACTATGGATTCTTTTAGAAAATTAATGGTCAAAGATTACTAGAAGAGTTGGTCAATAACAGTATTAGGATCATGTAAATTACTTATTTTCTAAAAGTAAAAATATTTCTAATGAGGAAAATTATTACTTTAAAAATTAAAAAATAGTCAGTCTGTCAAAAATTAGAAAAAATAGTAAAGTTATGTGGCATGATCCTTACCAACAGTTATAATATACTTCATTCGTTTCAATTTGTCTGTCTTATTATACTGGCTAAACATAACTCCAATTTTCGAATATTATTTTTCACTTTGAAAGCAAAAAATACTTTTTTTAAAAAAATTCACAATGAAACATGGACAAATGCCTAGTTTGTCTGGACACGGAATAAAATAAAGAAACTTTTGAATCTTATAATTTTAAACTAAAGATGTGTAATGTACCTACATGTTCATGATTAATCTGGTAATCTTAAGCATGTCAGGTGAAATGTTGGAATTAAACCGTTGTCGAAAAGAAAAGATACATTCTTTTAAATAGACTAAAAAAGGCAATAAGACGAGCAAATTAAAATGGAGGGAGTAATTATTGCACTCTATGTAGGAAATGAGTTATGAGTCCTCTATAAATGCATTCATGTTGTATAGGAGAAAGTATATAATATAATGGCTAGGTTCCTGGTTTCTTCTTTGAATGTTGATGACAATTCTAGTAAAGCTAGTGCTATTATTAGTTACTATGGAGTCTTGTTCTTGCTCTATGTTATCATTTTCTCTGTTTTAGTGGTGTCAATAGTGGTATTTTCATGTACTGATCATCCTGAAAATGACAAAGTATCTAAGAAGAAAAAGAAAATCAAGTCCAAGTCTATTGGTGCTAATTGTGGTTCTAATTTTGATGGTACTGGTGGTGTCATCATGTATGCTAGTGGTGCTGGTGGTGGTGGCTGTGGATGTGGCGGTAGCGGTGGTGGAGGTGGTGGCTGTGGCGGAGATGGTGGTGGTTGCTGAGTGATTGTAAACTCTATATTATATGGGCTTAAAGTGTTTTGTTAAGTTTCCTTTCTGTTAAGCTAGCTTATATAAAAAAGTACTATATGGTTTCTTCTATCCCACAAATTAAGGGTGTCAATAGTATGGTTCAATCAGTTATTTTATAAAATTTATGTCATATTGATTATTTTAGCTTTGTATAATTAAAACTAATTTTTTTGAAATCGTCTTATCATCTCGATTTCTCTTTGATATTGCTACGATGCAATTGATTTTGAGTATCCTTTTACTTAAAAATCACGTGAGACTCACTCGTATAAGTTAGAACACGTATTCAGTAGGGTTTTGACAAAAAATCTTTGGATATTTTTACTATTTAAAAGGTGATAAATTAATACAACATGAAAGACGACAAGAATAGAGATTCATCCCCATATTCCAAACTAGTAATGTAAAACAAAGTAAACCAAAGCCAAAAAAAATTGGATGACACAAGTGAGAAGAAATTAATCAAGATGGGACTTAAGAACAAGTCTACTAAGATTAAGAAAACTTTAGGAGTCATTTGGTATGATGTATATGGTATAATAATTTCAACGATAAAATATAACACTATTTTATCCTACATTTGGTTGGAGGAATTAGATAGTCTTAGAATTACTTATCTCACCATGTATACCATAGTGATGAGATAAGTTATCTCATATGCATGGTCTCAAAATAATTAATCCTGAGATAACTTGTTTCTAACCAAACAACCTAAATTATATACGAGGACAAATATCTAATTATACCTTGTAACTTATTAGTTACTATTCAAGATGCTAGAACTCATTTAGGGTTGTAAGCAGAGGCGGAGCCAAAATTTTCAATAAGAGGGTTCAAAATTTGTAGAAACAAACACATGAAGTAGCCGAAGAAGGTTCGACATCTACTACATATATATAAAAAATTATTTTAACCATGTATAAATAGTATAATTTTCCGTCGATGGGGGTTCGGATGAACCCCCATTGTACAAGGTGGCTCTGCCCCTGGTTGTAAGTCATTTCCTTAACCATCAATCCTAAGACAAATCTTTTAATACATTTTTGGAAAAATTACATAAATACACGACTCTTGATATCATAATCTCTAAAATTTCCTACCATTTAAAAAAAATACAAAAGTTTCCTCCCAAATACATCCTTATATAATAGAATGAAACCGTTCAAAAGGGGTACACAATATTAGGCCTTGCAGGGTAAGGTTAGCTGATTAGACCCGACAGGACAATCAATTATATGACGGCTCTCGTCGACCGGGATGGCAGTTCCACAAATCTCACTACACCGACCATAGTAAACTCCTTCTCGTTGTACCAAAATAGAGGTCTGAGTACAACATCACATTTGACTCCTAAGGAAGGTACAACCCAACTATGAGGTACATCAACAGATGTTACAATAAAATGTATATGGCTCTTTGCTGGTAGAACCACTCTATTGTCGACTTCTAATAAACGTGATTGACCCAATTCTAAATGCATAGGCAAAGGGGAACTTTCCTAAAAAGCCTAATAGCAATTAACCGCATTGGAAAGGACGAATCACACTCTGAAAGGAGGTTCCCTCCCAATAGATGTCTGGAGGGATATCCCCTCTCGGATATGGATACATCCCTCCCATTAAGTGACATATCATTTGCAACATCAAACAACCAAAGAATGAATCCGAAAGCAATGAAAATTCCAAGATTTATGTAATTGGGAAAACTTTTGGAATAAGATATAATTAACCCCCAAATGTATTTGGTCCCCCCCCCCCCCCCCTCCCCCTCCTCACCAGTTTGCTAACCTACTTGTCGGTTACCCGCAAATTTGTAACCATAATAGGGCTCTGGACTTACCCCCCCACCCTCCAGCGATTCACCAGTTTGTTAACCTACTTCTTGGCTACCCGCACTTTGTAACCAAAATAGGGCTCTTGACTTAACCCCCCCTCCGCTCACCAGTTTGCTAACCTACTTCTTAGCTACCATAAGCAGAGTAGGGCTCTGGACTTACCCCCCCCCCCCCCCCCCCCCCCCCAATTTACTAGTTTGCTAACCTACTTCTCAGCTATCCGCACTCCATAATTAGAATAGGGCTCTAAACTTAACCCCCCCCCCCCCCCCCCCCCACACACACACACAACCAGTTTGCTAACCTATTTCTCAGCTACCCACACTCCATAACCAGAGTAGGGCTCTAGACTTAACCCCCCACCCCCTTAAAAAAAACACAAAATAGTGAGGCAAACCATATAGAACTCATTATCCACCGACATGAGGCAAAACAGCAGGCACAAAGAGAGCTGTTTTTTTTATGGATCAAAACTTCATTTATACTGTCTAACCAACCGTTAACTATTTTAAGGTGAGGTCAGTAAATTAGTGTAATGGTATATAATGATATGTACATCTCAAATGCCCCTATTTTCTCACCAATATAAAATCATAATCATTATTCTCAGACCGGCGGTAGACACGTTACTCATTTTACCTGAATGCATCATAAAAGTTGGACAGAACCAAAAAAATGAAACACGTCAAGTTTTGATGACACGGCCTTTGTATTGCCCTCTACGGATCACAAAGTCATCAGGAAGTTGAAACTCTTCCAACCAAGTCACGTTGGAGGATGTCACTCCATCCACCTCGAGTTCACCTTAAAAAAAAAAAAAGCATGTCAAAATACTTCAGATTTTCAATACAATTCATATCTGTGCAAAATTTCTAACAGTGCAACTACCTGGTAGATCCACTACTGGAGACCTCCGGAAATAAGTGCAATGCCGTCCATCCTCAGAAGAGTAAGGTGGAGAAAGGATGTCAAAAATAGCACAAGGAGTTATGGCTTTGAAACAATGGATGTTGCCTCCAGAAGTAGGATACAGAGCAGTTGTCCCACATGGAGCAGTCATGTCACAGTCTTTAACAAGCTTTGCCGGTCTTGCACCTGAGAAAGCAACATTAGGAGTGAGCAGCTGAAGATAGCAAACTGCGACGTGTGTATATTATATGTATATATGTAACTGTATATGAATTCAAGAGGTCGAGAAGAAGTAGCAGTAGAATCCTGTATAACGAACCTTAATCCCAAAAAATAATACCTTAAATAAACTAGAACTAATAAAGAAAATAGAAAAAATAAACTCGTAACAACTCCTTCTGATTGACATAAAATAAAAACTAGTATCTCTCTATTCATATTCTTTGGTCACCCAGTTGCAGTCAACTATCTACAAGTAATATAATTATGTGCACAGAGTTCTCACATTTTGCATTCCAGTTGAAGCATGGGATACAAAATTCTGCACAAGATGTGAACTGAACCCTTGACTTTGCAAGTCTACTCAACTTACAACTTAACAAAGTGATTATTAGTACAAGCAAGCACGGATTCTGCAGATGATGCAATTAAACCCTCAAATTTAGTTGTAATCTTTATACCTAGCTCTCAGTCAGTAAGTTTTATGGTTGAATTCGAAAAGGATGAGTTCATAAGGCAAAAATAGGCATATCATGAAACAAATACACGATTCTGAGTTATCATATTCAAACTAAAAAATAAATCTGACAAAAAGAAAAGGCCTGAAAAAACATGCCAACAGAACCAGAGATGAGAAAGGACCTGCCACTCAATTAGAAATAACATAGCAGAAAACAAGCACATCAAAAACATCTAATCCGAATACTCTATATTGTGCAATGAAATGATATCGCATATCCACCAAGTACATCCTACACATCTAATTAAAGACTACGCACCTTCCAATGGAACCAAAGGATCTGGAATATTGATCCAATCATAGGCTTTCACATGAAAGGAACCATATACCAGCTTACTTAAAACTGTCATTCCAGGGTGATTGTGTAGAGGTATGATAGAGGAAGGTGGCATGCAAAATATCCCCATCTGCGAAAAACACCAAACAAGAGAAAAGATCCAATTATGCATCATTTCTCTACAGCTGGAACCCCTACAAATTGATATTAGTCATCCATATTCTCCAAATATCAGCACTCCTCTACAACCCCCACCCTAAACCCTCTTTAGAAAAAAAAAAAAGGAAAGAAGAAAAAAGGTAAAAGCATTATGCAACACTTACAGAGAAGCTGTCACATTCATGTAAGTGCAGGTATTTGATTGGTGGCGGTGGCGGTGGCTGCAGTCCTCCATTGCGCTCGTGCAGAGTACTATTCCAACTCCGTACAAGTTGTGCTTCTTGCTCAAGACCTACATCAGAGGGCTTGATTTTATCTGTAGCCCAAATGTTAGTAATATAAGTCATTTGTGGAAACATAGGCCAAAATGAGCCTGAATTTTCATGGGAAGGCCAATGATCACAAAATTGACAGTTTAACTCATGGCCCAAATAAAGTTGCTGTAAATGAGAGTTTAGAGACTTGAGGAAGAAATTCAAGATCATCTTAAATCATGAATTTTGCAGTTCTATGCAATATTTATTTTTATTTTCTTTAAAAAAAAAGAATGAGAAACACAAAAATATGATTACAAGTGCACGGTGCTATCCATGAGAAAAGTAGCACCTCAAACTGAACCGAATAACTGTCCAACCCAACTCCATGTCAAATACCGAACAAGCCAAACGTTAAATAAAGACTGCTTGCAAAACCATATTGACTGCTTCAGTTGTCTTTCTGAAACTGAGACTGGATATGGGATAAATTTACATCCCATGTTTAGAACCCTAACACAAAGCAGAGGTCTCAATCTCATTTTTTCCAAAAAATATAACATCGTTAATCCCTTGAAGCTTTCCACATTTCACTGCTGTAAATTATAATGTCAACTAAATTCTCAATTCCTATTACTGATTAAATCATACAAACTTCCAATTTTTACCTCCACAGTAAGACCAATCTAAATCTGTCCCCAACTACCACCACCACAAAAGAAATATATTAAGAAAAAAATTAAAAACCATCCTATCTCCAAATAGCTGCTCCATGGAATTGCTCCCAGCTTTAATATATCGTATTTTGCAAAATGTGATAAATGCGTCAGAAATGAATTGATCAGATAAAATTTCACATCTTTTGGAAGCTGACATGAAGCAATCCAGTGATGCTTTTAAGATTTACTCACTAAAAGACTTGACGTATTGATTTCTCTATCTGGCGACATCCTACATACATTAACCAATTGAACCATTACAAAAAGAGGATATTTTCCTCAAAGAGTGTTTAGATAAATGTTTTCCACTTGATCTTGTAGATAAGCTATAAGCAATCTTATTCATTACTTAACAAAGAAACCAAACAGTGTGATCAATGGTTAAACACTCATTCTTCAAGCTTCTTTACATTTTAGAGATAATATTACGACCCTCCATTAGTCTCAATCCACCAATGGCGAAGGAAAAGGATAGAATGTGGTTACTTCACAAAAATCCATCAAAACATATATAAAGTTACTAAACCTTCACCAACACATATCTATCTATATCTATAATCTATAATATTCTAAAAGTGGAAAGCCACAAATTTAAAAGTTGAATGACTAAAATGTCCACGTAAAGTTGAACGGATTTTTAACCCTTCAATCTAATACCAACCATATAACTTTTCCCCCTCCCCTGTAATTGTGTCTTTATCAGATATCTTTATATCTATTTATGTGTTCTTAATTCTAAGGTTTCGAACTTTCCCCCTTCCCCTATAATTGCTTATTTATTAGATTTTAGCATACGTTTATGAAGTCTTCAAAAAGCTCAATTTGGTACCATTATATTGAGTTGAAAGGTCACATCTCCTTCGTTTGGTAAACAAAATGGGCTTTCAGTGAGAATACCAACTTCTGACAGAAAATTCAAGCATGGGTTCAACTGATGATCATTGTTTCTCTGATGGTTTAAAGTTTTCTATTACTTTCATTCATTTATTTCACAATTCCTTTAATACTAGAGATATCTGCTCTCAAATTCTTTTCGATTTATATGGAGCATATTAGAGATCAATCTGCAAATTGTAAAGATGAAGCATGATATGATTGTTACAATTTATCATTCATGATTGTTCATAAAAACATCACCAATTCTCATCATATATGTTAGTTTGTTGAATCAGCAATAGCTACAAAAAAATTGAACATAATTTTACTACATGTATATAATTCAACAAGAAGCTGCAGCCCTTTGGTTACCTCAAGAAATGAGAAACTAGGTATAAAGAGTTCGCATGCAAGTACATATATTCCTGATTTCATACTTCAAATTGTCACTTGAGAATTTCGTATAATCCTTACCAAAAGATCTACAGAATTGTCCATAATCATTCAGGTAAAGACACAACTTTTTATTCCTAATGATAGTCCTAAGTTCGGTAAAAAAACTATTTTTATGGATCTTGTGCTTGTAAGGCGTAAACAATATCTATACATTATTATAAAAAGGAGGAACAAAAAAAGGGGGAATCACATTTTTTCATGGAAATGGTGTACTTTATTAGTTTGAATATTCATCTTACAACATATGACTCTAAATTTCATCAAAATTTAACAATTACGTAATTTTTTGGCCCTCGAATCAGCAAGTTATTAACTAGCTTATTCCTTTCTTCAAATTTTCTCTCTTGACTATTCATGGTTACGAAGTCAAAAAAAATTGGGAAGCCAACAATTCAGAGAAGAACAACAATGCAGAAGTAAAATCTCATATATATATACATATAGTGTTACAAAATCTCATGCTTACTTTTACAATCTAATCTTTCTAATGCCTTGTTATCATAAAACTATTGCATCTATCAAACCTAAGTTAGATTCAAGAGAAGCTATAGCTTCCAATCTCAAACTGGACAAAATGATAGTCACTCCAATAGGTTTAGGCGATTCTCATTGAACATAAGAAGATGGATAAAATTTTACCACATGATCTTCCAGATAACTATTTTTTATCACATCTAGAAGTAACTTGAGCAGTTAATATAGAACACAAATTAAATAACCATTTAAACCATGATGTGATTAGAAATCTAGAAATAAATATGACAACATTTATTAAGTAATTAATCAACAAAAATACATACCCAATAGGGAACGGACTTTCTCAAGAGCGTCTTCGGAAACCGGTCCGTTAGGTGAAAGTGATGCTTTACAAGCGTTATAAAGCTTTTGTACAGCTGGCATGTTCAGCAAACCGACAACCGCTATACCCACCGCTTATACAACAAAACTTATCTTACTGTGACTAACCGCTTCAAACAAACCAAAAATCCAGCCTGAAGGGTCCTCTATTTCTCGAAGACCCTTCAAGAACAGCCTTTCAAGCAGCAGACCCTTCCAGAACACAGTTTCACATAAGCTGGACTCTACAATGCAAATCAAACCAATGATCACACATCCATGTAGTGCTTAACTGATCCTGTTTTACATTCTATTATCAATGCCACCTAACAAACAGAAGAAATCACCATTACACTCAACATTTCTGATCCACAAAAATTCAGAAATAATACTCGCAAAAATTGGGGAAAAACTACTGTCCAAAATTACATTTTCATTTCCAAATTCCATCTCTAGATCCCTAACTCCAAGCCGAATGCTTACAACATAAAAAAAAAATCCATTTCCAATTTTTTTTTTTTTTTTTTTTTTTACCGTGGTTTCCGGGCGTCGCTTTGCGAACCCGACTAGCTGTACCCACCGGGTCCTGCTGTTTCAAGGCGGGTCCACCACGGTTAGTTCCACGGGGCCCTGGAGACGCGGCCGGTTTGTAATGCCTCCAGTGGCCCTGCTGGGGCTCGAACCGTGTCCAACTAAAACTGAACTTAGACGCGAGCTACTGTACTCTTCTCCGGCAACAAATCTAGATATGCAATTTATCAAAAAAATGAAAACTCACCAAAACAGAAGCAAACTTGAAAGGGATAGAATGTACAAGTATTTATTCCAAGCGAAATCGATGTGTTTCAGTAGATGCGTAATTCAATTGGAAAAAAGTTACACAACTTTACGATCAACAATCGAAATGAGAATCGCACTAAATAGAGTTTAAAATGCACAAAATTGGTCATGAAAACACATACAACAAAAGCATATATACATATACACAAACGAGTATTTCCAGTTAACAGTAAGGATTGTGAGTGAAAATAAGCAGAGAAGGAGATGATCATACCTTTTAGAAGGAGCAGAGAGAACGGAAAATTGCGGAAAGATACAAGAGTCTGAGAGACTGTTATAGAATGAAGAAGACGAACAAAAAGATTGCGTTTGCGTAAAAATTGCTCTTTTGGAACCTTTGGCAAAATCGGGTTCTCAACCATGGGTCGGAGTTATATGGTTCTGACAAACCCGACCCATCTCTGACCACTGGAAATTATTACCCTTGGTTGAGGTAGATATTTCAGATATGCCATTGTTCTCCGTACGATTTGTCTTCCGCTAACGAATCTCCCATGCTCTCATTGTGCTTTTAATTTAGACATTTCATACTTTTCGATCTCATTGTGCTTTTAATTTAGACATTTCATACTTTTCGATTTTCGAAGAGTTCTTTATCGTGCTAGGTCATTGTCGTATTTTTTAATTTTTATTTGACCTTTATGGGTAGTTTGGTATGAGGTATAAGGTAAAATAATTTTAGGATAAACTGTTAAATTATTTTATCGTGCGTTTGGTTGGAGGTACTAAGTAGTCATGAGATTATTTATCCCATTTATATTTTAATGATGGGATAAGTTATCTCATATACATGATGGGATAACTTATCCCGAAATTGAAAGTCTTTTGTATTTGTATGAATTTCTGACCACATGAATTTTTTATAGACAATTTTAATGGAAAGTGTAATCTTTGGTACTACTATCATTTTACACGATTTAGGAACTTCTATCTAGAAAATATAAAATGTTGAGTCCATCTCTAGTGTCGAAGTGTAGCGTACCTAGTGTGATGAAGTTTTAATTTAGGGTTGTATTTTTATCCTTTAAATTATCCACGAACATGCTTCGTAAATCAAATTGATAGAGAATCAATTATGCACTTCTTTTGATAACAAATAAACTCTCTTTCTTTTTTAGTATGAAAGCCGTAAAACACATAATTAAATGAATCAGTTCTAATTAATCAGAGACCGATTCAGAATTTTGAGTGGGCATATTTTCAATAATTAGACAAAAAATTGTTGGTATGACTCGAGGGGAGTCAATTCCATCTTTGCCACTATACCAACATCTCCTTTTACTAAGGGTTCCAACTATTAATTTCTTATATATAGTAATTAATGAATTCTCAATATAAATATAGAATTTGAACGAAAATTATTGAGTTCTTAGAACCCCCACTCGATACCTCGAATCCGCCCTTTCTAGCCATGTCTACTTGTTTCTCCATGTTTGCCAAACTGTCTAAACAGAAAATGCCCTTCTTTATAACTCTGTTTTAATACTGCTTTTGTTCTGTGGATGAGTAAACGACTCTCTTTCAGAATAGCAATGTGCCTGTACTCCTCTTCCTCAATTCCATCTTCATGAATTTGTGTTATTCCATCTTCCAGTAATTTACTTATGGCTTCATTTTCCAGTGAATAAACCCTAGCATCATAATTTAAAAAAATAATAATTTAGATCAGTTAGGGGTCGCTTGGTAGAGTGTATTAGGAAATATAATGCATGCATTAGGTGTGTGTATTAGTAGTACCTTGTTTGATACACTTTTTCATGTATTACACTCTATTGTGTATTAAGTTGTGTATTACTAATACCAAGGAATTCTAGGTATTAGTAATACATTGCATTTCAACACCTGCATTATATCAAATAATTACAAAACTACCCTTAAAGCCTTTTTCATTTTCTTTGTTGTTATAAGTTTTGTTTTTATCTTGATTTGATTTTCAGTGTCTTTTAATTTGTTGGTGTCTTAATAGACTTTATAGCCTTTTAAGTATCTTTTTTTAAAATCTAATTTCAATATAATGTAATCAAAAAAAATTTAATATTGTGACAATAAATTTGATAAAAAAAATTATTTGCCAACTTTCACAAAAAAATTTTGACGCAATAGTACAACTATTTAATACTATTTATTTTTAAAAAAAAGAAAGATGAAGAGTTAATGATGTTTTAGCAAAGAATTTTTTTTTGATGTTTTAGCAAAGAACTTTGTTGCAAAGGAAGTGTACAAATAAATAAAGTGTGAAGGGTATTTTTGTAAACATATATTCTTTAATAGTAATTATGCAAGATTTGTTATTTCTAATACATTAAACCAAATAATGTATAAGAAATAATAGTTGCATAACTAATGCACTATATTTTGCATTATTCTTATACACTCTATCAAACGACCCCTTAGTTATACTGACGATATAAAAAAAGTAATTATATTATCGATGTATATAACTTAAATTCATTAATTAATTACTTAAGTGGGCATCCTATCATGATCAACCATTAGGAATCTAGCAACTTAAAGTCTTTAGCAAAGAATATTGTTTTTAAATAATTGTCAACCTATTGTTATTAAATCTTTTTTTTAAAATAAAAAATAAATACCTCTAAAACAAAGGACACTTGCTTTTTATTTCAAAATACTTCCAAGTTTTCAAAAATCGACTCAAATTAGGTTTTAAATCCATTTTTTTAAATTTTAACTTTAAAATCTAAAAAAAAGAGCTAAATATTTTTTTCCCAACGCGTCAACTCTCTAAAATAAACTCTTTTTATATTAAAAATCCCTTTTCTAAAATAAAAAAATAAAAAATTGGCTAAACAAATTATCAAGTCAATTCCGAATAAACAAGATAAATAAACAATTCTATTTTGAGAGGAAAAAAAAAGTAAATACTCAGGGATTGGAATGTCCTCATCTAATGGTGGTGCAAGAATCCATTCTTCATCTGCATCAAGAACAACTCCTTTATTCTTTTCAACCCACCATGATCCTGGAATCAATATCTCATCTTTCAATATTGAACTTGATTTGTTCACTAAAGCCAAACTTCTCTTCACTTTCATCTCAAATTCTCCATTTTCCCCATTCCAACCAGCTATTATATGCAACATCGCCTACAAAACAAAATTAGCTCATGAAAATATAATTTAATTTGTTCAAGTTTGAACGGGTCATTTTTAGCTCAACCTCTTTTGACTTGTTTAGTTAAAACCATTTAGAATCTGAGTTGATATGTAGCTCAAATTGATCTACGAACAACATTTCAATAATGTAACTTTTAAGTGAATCAATAACGACTTATATATCAACACAGTTCATTTTGACTTTGTTCAGATTCAATTCAACTCGCTCATTTTCTTACCTGCAAATTATGCCAGTCACTTGGATTTTTTGAGTCCTTCAAACTTGGCGATTTTCTGGTGTCGATCACTAGCTCAATCCCTGAATTAACATACCCTAATAAAGAACTTGGATAAAGAGTTATCACATCAATTTTGTTCTTAACATGGAGGATTTTCAGATTTGGGAATTCTTTCAGCTTGTCGTTGAATGCTCTGTTTCCTACCTGTGGACTACCGAAAATAATGGCGGATACCGGAATATCAGTAACCCCATTTTCAACAAGATCAAAAGCTGCTAAAATTGATAAACTTGCACCTAAACTGTGCCCAGTAAAAGTTATACTCAGATTCTCGTCTTTATACCGATCTCTTAGATCTTCAATCATTGTTTGAAGCTGTGCTCTAGCACTTAATCTCGTAAATGGTGATTTTGGGTCACTGGATATGTAGATCTTCAACCATCCATTCATTACTCTAGGGGCATTTTCGTCATCATTACTGTTACTTCCGCCATTATCGCCATCTGGGTCAGATTTATTCAGCGATTGGGGATCGAGTAGAGGTTCAGCTGATTCGGGTAGAGCACTAAGAACATTGACCCATTCGTAATTCCTCGTTGTTCCACGAAACGCTATGTAGATTTCCCGACGACCCAGTTGTTCGCTCATTTCGTCGTTGGTTACAGCTATATACCCGATCCAATTGGATTCACGATCCCATGATTCACGAGAAAGAGAGTGGAGGAAAAGGGCTTTATGGGCACCAACACGAGCAGTGGCGTAAAGGAAGCTGACGATTTGGTAATCTGAGGCGGATTTGAACATGACTTTGTGGAAAAATGAACTTTTGCCGTATCGACTACTGCCACAGTACATGGAGTATTCATCATTGTTGAAGGCGTCGTAAGTTGCTTGACAGAAGTCGCCGCACCGGAGTATGAGTCGCCGGAGATTGAGATGTAATGGTTCAAGAAGACCTTCCCAGTTGTTGCTTCCTAGTAATTCATGCCATGTTGGTTCTGTCCCCATTTTGTGTAAAAGAAGAAAGTAGTTATGACTAATCTTTATACTTTTTCCACTATCAGAATGGGATTTTGTTAGATGATTGGACAGGGAACCTACTCTGTAATTGTCTTTGATAATTTAAATTAATGGAGTTCATATAACATATGATTAAAATAGAAAATGATTGGACCAAAATGGTGTGAATGTATGGTTGGGAACGGGAGATTGCTCCTGCTATAGTATATACTCTCTTTTTTTCTCATCCGGCATTCAAGCTTTATTAATCCAAATGTGTGTTGTATAAGTCTCCATTCAGAAGGAAACATTCCTCGTAAAACTATTAAGAATGAAGATACAATATGGGACAAGAGTGGAAGTTGCCTCCTCTGTGGGAACAATGAGGAAGGGAGATTATGATGATTTGGACATACGAATACGAGTTGTGCAAATGTCTCATTGATTGAGAAGGTAATGGAGATTGCTTGTGGTGGAGTTAAAGAGAGGTAGATGTAGGATAAAAAAGTATTGAAGAAAAGTGATTAGACAAGTCATGACGCACCTGACCATAGAAAGAAGGTTATGATCATAAACTAGATCAGAAGGTTAGTAGGTAGTTGAGCAACATCTTGCTTTCTGATGAGATAAGCTTGGTGGTAGTTTGGTGCTCTATATCCATTTCCCCCTTCATACTAGTAGTAGCAACATTTTTCTTGTACTTTGTCCATCCTTCAATTTTTGTTACTCCTCGTAATATTATGTGTTTCGATTATCATATTATTTGGTTATTATTATTGCTCCTTATTTTTTGAATGTTATCTTATATTTTCCCTATTGTTATGACTTATGATGTGTGTTACTCAAGTAGAGTATTTACCGAAAACAACCTTCTAATACTTCCACTAGAAGCAAGGCATCACCAAATTGGCGCCTTCCCTATATTTTCAAAAATCCACATTTAATTGTCCTCTCCAAATCGCATTTGATGAAACCAGAGGATCTCCTTCAGCGCCTTAGCCCCACCCACACCCAAAAATGCACCGCCGGCTGCCCAGTTCTCGACCGCTTTCTCGGCGGCGGCATTCCTTGCAATTCCATAACCGAATTAGTCGCCGAAAGTGGATGCGGCAAGACCCAAATCTCCCTCCAGCTTCTCCTCTCCGCTCAACTCCCCACTTCACTCGGCGGTCTCTCCGGTTCCTCCATATACCTCTACTCCGAATCACCCTTCCCCGTCCGCCGACTTCACCAACTCTCCTCCTCTTTTCCCACTCTCCACAACCCCTTAGATCAGATCCTAACCCACCCTCTTCACTCTGCTCACCACCTGTTCGACGTATTGTCCCAACTAGACTCATTATTATCCTCCCGTCGCGACTCACCTTCTTCTCCCCCAATCAAGCTAATTGTGATCGACTCCATCGCGGCTTTGTTCCGATTCGAATTTGAAAACAACCCACGTGATCTTAAACAGAGATCGGGGTTGTTTTTCAGGATTTCGAGCAAATTGAAGGAGCAAGCTAGACGGTTTGGGCTGGCTGTAGTGGTGATTAACCAAGTTGTTGATGTAATGAATGATTCTGATGGGTTAAGGATTGGGAATTCAACTTGTTTGTATACATCTGAGAGAAAAGTATGTGCTGCATTGGGCTTGTCATGGGCAAATTGTGTTAATACAAGATTGTTCTTGTCCAGGCAAGAAGAGAGAATTGCTCGAGCGGTAAATGGAGACGATTGCTTTAGTACACAAACTCGGAGATTTATACACGTTGCATTTGCTCCTCATCTTCCTGATTCTTACTGTGAGTTTGTTATTACTGGAGAAAAGATTTTTGGTTTAGAAAGATGAAAACGTAGGCTTGTACAAACTATGTACATATTATCTATTTAACAGCAAAAAGAGCTGATCTTTGCCTCTCTTGCCATTGCTACTTTGCTGCCTTTTAGCTTTTTTGTTTTTCAAAATTTCACAATGTTTATAGGAAAAACTATCTAATTACATTAATATTCATACCCTATGTATTAATTCTCAATATAGTTTGAAATAGTTACGTATTATCTCACTAATTAATAATTCATATTAGATTTCAATTTAAATACTACAAATATAGAGAGTGGCAAGCGAGAAAGGAGAAAAACGAGCGAGATAAAAGGAAAGCAAGCCAGAGGGAGTGAATATATCTCAATTACATGTATTTGGGATACCGAGATAGAATCCGCTTAGATATAGTGTATTTGCAACAAATACACCTATTTTTGATCCAATATATGTGAGATGCACGTAAATGGGGGCCAAAATTTAGCACGAATTGTAATTTCAAAAACTCGCGAAAAGACACATAATTAAATGATAACAAAACGAGTTTTGTGCAATGAAATAATATCATTGTTTGATGATTAATAATATCACAACAATCTCAAGAAAGCATGATAAAAAAAAACTAGGAATTCAAATAAATGGGTCTAAACAAATATGTTGCTACCAAACGAAAGACAATGACTCAAGGATCTAGCTAGTGACAATCATATCTAAACAAACTCTTCTTTTTTTCCAAAAAACTTAATAATCATACTTTAAATGGATTGATATAAATATTTCGTACACTAAACATCGATTAACTCGTGACTGGGACATAATTAAGTGATGTAATGATTGTGAAAACACAAACAAAGCTAATAAAACTAAAGTGAATTAGAAAGGTTAATAAAACTAATCGAAGGGTTAATGTGTCCAGCTTCTATAATCCATGGGGCCTTCGTGTTGCCTTTAGAGGTCTTAACTCTAAACCATTTACAACTTCATAATCACTCTTTAATTACTCATTCTATTTCAATCTGTTTATCTTAGTTTGATTAGACACAAAATTTAATTAAAACAAAAATGATTTTTGAATTCATTGATCAACTAAAAGTATGTATAATATATCAAAATATTTTTTAAATTATATGATCTTAAATATGTCATATGAAATATTAGAATTAAAGAATAATCAAATTAGGAAAAAAATACTTATTCTAACTAGCGGAAGAGCCAAGATTTTGTTAGGTATTCAAGCGAAAAAGAATCCAACTTCTATTATATATATGTAAAAGGTAATTTAAATCATATATAAATAATATATTTTTTCACCAAAAGAAGTTGACCGTTGCTAGCTCAACCCTTGAAAATAAATAATTGAGATATAAAACTCGAAAAAGATTTCGATAATTTTGACAACTTATTTCCTTTTTCTTAGTAGTATAATAAAGACAAACATTCTTTTCTATAGCCACAATGAGGCTAGGGACTTATAAGCAAGAAGATAATTAATTGTGCCTTTTTTGTACACTGTTTCCCGCGCGCATAGCACAAAAGAAGACAAATGCACACCTGGGAGAAATCAGAAATCAGAGAGGAGAGAGAGAAGAAAGAAAAGACTGTTTTGTGACTCAGTCCCAAGTAGTCTTGTCAACATCACAGGAGTAATAGAGTAGTTAAACATCTCTCTCCAATGGCTTCTCTATAACCCCCTCTTTGGGTGTTTTCATTTTTTGTGAGTAGTAACATTTTGTGCACCAATGGAAGCTGAAAATGAGGAGTACCATAAAAAAGAAAGGGCCATTGCAGTTACTATACTGGTCTTTGCTTCTCTTGCTATTGCTTCTTTATTTGTTGCCTTTAGTTACTATTGTTATATCTGTAACAAAGTGGCTAAGCGTCTCAAGAACCGCACTTGTAAGTATTGTCTTTACAATTTTTGTATGTTGGTTACAAGTATTTCAAGAATTAGGTACATTTTTTGAGTTGTGGCTTTGGGGGTTCTTGAATATTGCAGAAAGTTTTGATCTTTATGTTTATATGGGTCAAGAGGGGATTGCACTGAGCTAAAAGGGAAAGAAGAAAGGGGAGGGAGGGGTATGGGGTGGGGGTCAGTTTTTTCTATTGTAGAAAAAGAAAAGAAGAAACGCACAATGTCATTGTGACAAATGGAAAGGATTGCATACATGGTTTTTGAGTTGTGGCTTTGGGGTTCTTGAATGTATTGCAGAAAATTTTGATCTTTATGAAGATATGGGTTGAAAGGGGATTGCACTAAGCTAAGGGGTGGGGGAGGGGGTTAGTTTTTCCCTTTTTAGGAAAAGAAAAGAAGACACACATTGTCATTGTGACAAATGGAAAAGACTGCATTACATATTTTTGAGTTGTGGCTATGGGGTTCTTGAACGTATTGCAGAAAGTTTTGATCTTTATGAAGATTTGGGTTGAAAGAGGATTGCACTGAGTTAAGGGGGGGAAAGAAAAAAGAGGAGGGAGGGGTGGGGGTCAGTTTTTTCTATTTTAGGAAAAGAAAGAAGAAACATACATTGTCATTGTGACAAATGGAAAAGATGTAATGTTGGTTACAATTTGTTGAAATTCTGAGTGAAATGCCTTAATGACTAGAAGCAGATTAAGTTTCCTCAACTTAACGGAGAAGATTTTTCTAACTGACCTTGACTAGTTTGGAATTGAGCCTTAATTGTAGTTGATAAGATTAGCACTATTGTCTTACTTGTTTTACTGAGAAGATGCTTCCTAATGCTCAAATTTACACCCTGCTTATTGTGCTTTAGTAGTTGTTTATAGAATTAGCACTAATCCTCCGGCTTGTTATACTGAGAAAATGCTTGCTAATGCACAAATTATCACCCTGCTCACTGTGCTTTAGTAGTTTTTAAAGAAATAGACCTAATCTTCCTGCTTGTTATACTTAGAAAGTGCTTCCTAATGCACAAATTATTACCCTTCTCACTGTGCTTAAGTAGTTGTTAATAGATTAGCACTAATCTTCCTGCTTGTTTTACTGAGAAAATGCTTCCTACTGCACAAATTATTACCCTGCTCACTGTGCTTTAGTAGTTGTTAATAGAATTAGCACTAATCTTCCTGCTTGTTATACTGAGAAAATGCTTCCTAATGCACAAATTTACACCCTGCTCACTATGCTTTAGTAGTTGTAGATAAAATTAGCACTGATCTTCCAGCTTGTTATACTGAGGAAATGCTC